CTCAATAGAACAAAAATTCCATGTGGGACCTTGCTATCATGGTCAACGTCCTCGTCATCAACCACACCACAGTGCGGCAACACGAAATGTGCTGTACATACACTCATCGCTACTGACTGATTTGAATGTGTGGTTTAATACACATAAAAGCAACTTGTAGCCTACATTTATTTCCTGTAGTATTTGATCTAAACTAGGGCCTATGCCTACACACACGTATGTACCCAGCCAGCCTATTCGTCTTCGTCAGGCCAGCCTGCATTACAGCACATTGACACGAAATGTGCTGCACACATACACTCATCGCTACTAACTAATTTGAATATTATGTGGTTTAATACACATAAAAGCAACTTGTAGCCTACATTTCCTGTTATCTGATCAAATCACACACGTACTACCCAGCCAGCCTATAGGCCTAGTTCGTCTTCCTCTAGCTCTAGGCCAGCCTGCATTACGGTAGTGTACATTGTTGATCTCTCAGGGGAGAGACCACCCACCCTTGCAAGCACCACAAAACGGCTCATTCTTCGCTGCCAACTAGACTCGTGCAGACGAATTTATTAGCCGCAAAGCGTACCATTCAAGGCCGTGATTGGTTGATAAACACAATGTGGAATCAGGCGATTTGCAATCTGATCAATGATGAACACGCTTTCATAGGAAACCCACCGTAGTGTTAAGAAATATGATAGAAAAACATACTTTTCACATATTTCCCGACAATTTTTTTCGCAAAAACTCTTCATACTTTAAATTCCCCACGCCTTATCTTCCATATTATTGCAAGATCGGCCAAATCGCGTCACAAACGAAGGAAGAGACAGAAAAACAAATGACTTCAAAATTCGCTCAGAATCATCATATAAGCCCTCTCTCTCAGAGAGTGGGCTAAAAAATGAATATCAAGACGCGATTCGAACTCACAACCTTAAAGTTCTTTAGAACATATTCTTAACCGACCGTGCCATCCATGCAACGTGCCCTATTAGTGGTAATGGCAGTAATGTACAGTCTTGGCTGAAAATCCTGTTTGTTTTTTAGGTGTAGGGGGAACACTGTGGTACAACTTAAAACAAGGGCAATGAACGTTTGTTTGAAATTACCTCTAGTTTATATGTACAAAATTTCCTGCATGTCTGTTCAAAACTGGCAACACTGGACACCTTTAAAATATGGGTAACAAGAACAGCAGTGAGGCTCTAGGATCAGTCCCTTTCACGGACCAAAAAAGCATTTATTTGCAGTATGATATTTCGTGCAGCAAAGGTAACTAAACAAACAGTTCCTTTCAGTTGCTGGTCGACATGAGGCAAATTCCTTTTAGTTGCTCAAAGTCGACATGAGTTTAGTTCCGTTCAGTTGGGTTCGGTTCCTTTCAGTTGCGCAGAGCACTCACGTCGACCAGTTCACTTGAATTGAGTTCCTTGCAGTTCTGTGTCGACCTGAGCTTACCTTAAGAGCTACTAACCATAATTTTGATGACAAGGAAATATTAGTACTTGAAAGAGGTGTGAAAAACTGCAATTTAAATTAGAAAGATAGCTTTTCCATTCAAAAATATTCCATCATTCCTGATCATTATTGCTAACATACCCATAAATACCCTAAACACTACTGCTCCATAATCCACTCCCACAACGCCTCCCCACAGTGCTGTTGCATCTGGATCACAAGTATCTTTGGTATAAGTATCAGGAAGCTATTAACAGCCCTTTCCTGACAACTTTTCACGAGGGAAAAAATAAAATTTGTTAGGCCTTATATACTTGCCTGAATTGTAGCGACGAATAATATTAGCCCATTCAGAGCCATTGTTGGCTAGTAGGTTGGCCAATCTTACTCTCTGCCATGCCAGTAAGGATTCTGCTTTGACATGCTTATATAATTCTTTATTGAAAATGTTGTTTGTAGTCTGAAGCATCACCATTTTACTGCCCAAAATGTAGAAATCATCAAGTGATTCCAGGTAGCCTGAAAATAAATATGACATAATTAAAATTTTAGTATAAAATGTTTATTTAATAATGTTCTATTTATGACTAAGCTTAGCACAAACTGTATGATAATTTTATATTTAGTTATTACTTTATCACCTAAATTCATTGCACTTCTGGCTGTAAAAGTGAATAGAGGTTTTTTTACATTATGCACAATATAAATTCACAATTAATAATATTATAATTAATTCATATACCATAACACTGGCAGACCCTGTAGGATCAGATCTGGTACTGTCAAATACAATCTGATCAATCTGAGTAGTTAAATGCATTAAACATTGCTTTATAGTGATAGATATACTGTATTGTAATACATTGATGCTGTGGTGCAATTCTAAAGGTAAACCACAACATTTTACTTAGCAGTAAATTAAACCAACTTCATTTTTTTCTAGTCTCAACATTACAAATTATAAATGTTCTTGATAAATCCACTGAAGGTGATGATATGTATTAAGAGTGCATATGGATAAATAGAAAAAAAATACTTCACCAGGATAACTTGAAAAAGAAATCCTCTGACTGGCTACCTTTTGCTGCAGTTGCCAATCGTAATGCTTGTAAATTCTTAAGGTGGCAGCATATGTAAACCAACTAGAATGACCCATGAAAACGTCCTCAAACCCTGGCAATACCTGAAGTACAAATGAAGCTGAACATTAGCTTGAAATGAAGCTGAACATCACTTTCATGGTTCAACTTTATCAAAAATCTGTATAAATATATACCTGAAATGTACTAGGGTGGCAATTAAGGCTCTAAGTTGATTAACATGTTAAACATGTTTTAGAGACACAATTTTTATTGACACAAACTGTTTTTCAGCACTGATAGGAAAACCAGTCCTACACAAAATTTATCATTTATCCTATGTGTAGAGGCGATAGTTTTCTCTAACATATGTCTTGAGAAATCTGAATTTGAAAATGATTTTACTTATAGAGTACTAATATTCATATTACATTTTTTCAGTTTACCAAAAGCAAAAATACAAATATAGTAATTAATTGATTCAAACATAAACAAAGCTTGTCTTAGAAAAGAAAAGAAAAAATTCAAATCATTGTCATGTATCTACTAATTATATCAACAATGTCTGGTATGACAAGACTCATTTTGTGATGACCTATCACTTTCACAGTTCAAATACACCTGGAATTGTACATTCTGACAAAGGTAGTAAATATTTTCAGAAAGTTATTTAAACCCAGTACCACTATTAACGCAGAGCAATGGCTATGTTTACATTGATATATTATGATAAAGCGAAAAAAAAAAATTGAAAAGCCACAAATACATCTACAGACTTTCGAAACTACAAAGCATATGTACAATTAAGACATCCATGACTAATTTCCACAATAGGAAGTATATAATCTGTGCACTGTATTTTAAAACAATTGCCTTTTATAAACAATATTACCATTTGTATCAATTTTCTATAAATGCTCTTAAAAACTGAAACTATATGGTAAAGTGCTGATCTTGTATGTCTCAAGCATAAATAATTGTGCATGCATTCTTAATCTCATTCTAGTTGAAATATTTAAATAAACTTGTATAAATAAAATTAGGGGCTCCAGATTTTGTCATGATGACTTTGTTGCTTTTGGGGCCCCAAATAAATAAACAAAAAATAAAAAAGCAAGAGATTTCAATACCTTTACCAAAGCTGAGCAATGACCACTTGTAGCAACAAACTGGTTGAATTCTTGAGTTGACATTTTCCTCCAGTCAGGTACACGTTCTGGCATTAGGACATGCCCAAGATCAATTAAATCACCATTACCATTTAAGATTTGAAAATCAAAAATATCCAGCTATTGCAAAGATTATGTAAAAAAAAAATAGTCATTTACAAAGTTAAAGGTATTTTATATTAAATGCAGTAGCATATCTAGAGGGATGCGGCCCAACCAACAAAAAGTTTGCGCCACCAGTAACCCCAATGGAAATGTTCGAAGCAAAAAAATTGTGCCTCAAGTAGTTAAAAATCACATTATATCACCAAATTTTGGGAGATAGCGACCTTCACTTAACCATCAAGCCTTTGCATCATCACCTTCATGGCCCATATCAGCCCACCTCCTAGTTCGAGACTCCTAAATACACCATTGATCAAATTGAACATTATAATTTTTAGGAAATTGAAATTGACTTCCATTGCACTACAATTTACAGTACTTGCTGTAATGTATTGTAATAGAAATTGAATGATCCTAAATCACTTTCATTGGCTCATTGTGCTTTAATATCAATAAAATAACATCTACCTGAAAGCATCTTTTAATCTTTTTATAAAATTTAAAGTTGTGCAAAATTATTTTTTTCTCTAATAGGCAGTGTGATAACAACCTCTCTTCATCCAAAGGAAGCATAAAAGCTGAATATAATGAAAGTAAAAAGTATTATCATTTTAATACTGAATGCATTTTCTGAGATCAGATGCTCACCTTATTTTGATATGGATTGGAATTGTATCCGGCCACAAGACCGTCAAATTGAGCTATAAGTAAACCGATGCCTTGCCAGAAGGGGTCATTCTTGTTGCTCTCCGTTTGCATTCTCATCCACGTGTCCTGCTTTTTGAAGAAGTCTTTTAGAAGGTCTTTAAATTTGTCAGGCTTTCCAGAAAAGGCCCAACTATTCATGTTAATGCTATGCTGTCTGATATGTCTATTGAATGGGTAAAAGAAATTAAAAACAAGAACAATTAGAGTGGTTTTTCATTCAACAGTGCTATGTACGGAAATAAGCTCTGTTTACACTATCAAATTTGTGTCTGGAGAGCAGTGCTTGAACTGTTTAGAAATCTTGACTATTGACACTGATACAGTAAGTGGAATTTAAATATAAAATTACATAAATCAGATAATAGGCAATGCTACCCCCCCCCCACCCTGCTCTAGGGATGCACGCATGTGTATTGACAATCATAGCAGTTTGTGTACCGATGATCGAATAAACCAACATTTTTTATTTTTATGATGGTTTGTGATTTTATATACGAGAATAATCTCACTTCGTATATGTATAGACCTGAAAGATCTAAGACAAGTTTCATTAAAGTGATATAGGCTATTAACAATTAAAAGTCTTTTTTCAAAGTTAGCTAGCATGTCGCTCTTGCCTGAGCCTGACCAGAACGCGGAGGTGTTGTTGCCAGGTAACAGATACCGATGCAACATTGCACGGCCTGTGCTTCACAGCACAGAGTTGACCGAGGCTGGGACGGCAGGCCTATCTAAGCCTACTGTAATAAGCCCTAACGGGCAAATAAAACTGAAACACAATCAAAAGAGGTAATTCATATTCAGAAACAAGATGATTTAGGCCTACACAGCCAAATCAAGAAAAATTCTAACGAAATTTAAAGTATTCAACAGCTGCTGATACAGCAGAATGAAAAGATTAAAAGGCCTGGTTATGACCAGGAAAACGACCAACAGGTCAGCGATTCTGAAGACATGTCTGACTGAGTTCTCTACTTTTCTGATGAAGAAAATGATGTACTGGACAATATGAACAATTTGGTTCAGAAAACATCAGCTCAAAGAAGGCATGATCCAAATCAGAAAATGCTAGATTCACTTAAGGATTTGGAGCGTGACATGGCATCCAAAGATAAAGTGGGGCCCAAAGCATTGCGCGAGATATCCAATCTGGTAAATCACTGATGATCATTAGTTGCACAAACAGAGTAGAGTTTTACCTAAGGCCTGAAAATGTAAATGCTTTGTCATCAAGACACACAGCTGCCGATCTCAAATTCCAAGAATCATAGGGAATACTTGTGGCAGGTGGCAGCAAATGTAATGGTCATAGAACAAATTTATGAACAAAGACGAATGGCAGCCAGCAGCAACAATGGGACAAATCCTTAACACGGACATGTTGAACAAATTATTAGTTTCCCTTATCAAATTTCCCTTGATGGGATGGTTTGACTCTCATAACGATTGAAGATCGGTCACAAAAAAGAAGGAAGTTAATTAGACCAGATCTTAACAAGAGGTACCAACAATTGTGTGCACCATCAGCAGACGTTGAGCAGGGTACGTGGTTGTTTGGGCCAATCTAAACAAGCTTCTGAAGGACCTTGATGACTCATAAGTTGAGTGCAAAAGTCTCAAGTTACAAACACAAGGGTGGCCAAACACTTAAACAATACGGGTACAATTACTGTAATAATGAACGTAACCAGAATTGCTGTCATCATTCAAAGTGAGCGGGATTCATAGCGAGCTGACATGTTTAAAGATTGCTCTCTAGCCTTTCATCACGTATTGCATTTCACATTGAAACCAAACAGCTTGAATTTTCCCACCGAACTTGAGGCTTCTTTTCAGGCCTAGAAACTTTTTTTTTTATATCGTGTTGCTCAAGTCTTTTTTATCAAGTTTTGTTTTTTTATCCAGTATTTTAAGTTTATCCTATCTTGTTTTGATGTGCGTTCGTGGTTTTTGATGTGTATTTTTCAATTGACTTTTTGATGTGAATTGTGTCCTTTGCGTTTATGATTGTGGTCTTGCGATTTCACCATGGCCGGGCAGTTTGCCTACTTCAATGCTAAATATCTACGATTTGGCTTTCATCGTATTTTTCTGACCTTGATGGTGCTACACCAACAGCCTATATAACAACAACTGTATTTATTACGATATGACAACATTAATTGACTATGATTTGTTGGTAAGCCTGCATCGTATTACAACAACAGCACTGCAACCTTTCATGCTCAAGTTTTGTTTCTATCTGGCAACGTAGAATTGAACCCCAGTCCACCAGATGTTCACAATCAATATAGTATTTGTATTTACTACCAAAACATTCACAGCCTTAAGATCAAATTGGAAACATTCTGTGGTGAGTTGCATACACATTTTGCACAAATCAATTAATGTTGTCACACTTAGCGAAAAATGGCTTAACGACAATCTTGACAACCCTGAGTTTTCACTTAAGGAATTTTCAACTTTTTTTTGTGAACCAACAAATTCTGTTGTTGGTTCATAATAAATAAAAGTCTCGTAGATGTAGAGATGAAGACAAAATATTAGGTTTAGATCTGTGTAATAGAATTTAGGTACAAGAAATACACTGAATCTATTTGAAGTGATCTAAACATTAATTCAAAAAGATTCTGGTCTTGGATTAGAATGTCGCATAAATCATCTACAACTCATGAAAATAATAACTATCACTGATGTCTTTCTCATGAACTACTGATCTTTAAATAAAAAATATGGGATCAAATCAAATCAAATCGTTTATTGACTCTATACAGACACCATTTACATCAGCGGCACTCAGGAGGTTCTTCAATCATAATAAATAACTTAAGAAAACAACTTAAGTAGAAAAAGACATTAAAAAGCACCTTAAAACTGTTTGAATATGCATATAAAATTACTAAATATACAAACACACAATTACAAATGTACTGTATACATATATATATATATATATATATATATATATATATATATATATATATATACATACATATATACA